TTCCCTTTATTATTTTTGATTTTCAAAAATATTTCATTCAAAACATATAAAATGATAAACAATAATTCAACTGGAAACAAGGGTCAGATCTGAATTTAATTCTAAGCTTTATTTCACTTTCACTTTAACTTTAAATGTATTAAAACATCGGTGAGTTTTAGAACAAAGCAGAGAAATAAAGTGGTTTTGATTATTAAAAAAAGGATAAAGATGAGATGGTCTGCTCTAAACAGAGGAGTACAACTTGTGGGCAGGGGGCAATCTGTGTTCTTCAGGATAATTTTATAAGGAAATGGTGTAATGTAAATGCAGGTAAATACAAACGTACATAAATTTAGGTGATATTTACACTGATTTGAGGCCTTTCAAAAAAAGAGAAACACCAATTGAAAATTTAAAATGAAACACTAATCTATAATATGACTTTGTTTGACTTTGTTTCCTAGTTTGAACACATCTTGCTTCCCATCCAGGAAGGTTTTTCAATTCAAAATAGTGTTGAGTTCCTGGTTTTATATAAAACCTGGAACTCAATGCTATTTCTGACATTTTTAATTGAAAAGGCTTTTTTGTTCTTTTTTTGAATGAATATGACCTGGATGACCGATAATCATCACCAACACTAATCTATTAATGTTAACTAACTCCATAATAGGCTCTGTCTAGGAAAGAAATAGTTAACTGTATAAGTTGATGAATTTTTTTTTTTTGTTAACTTAAAAATTCCTGATCTTTTCTGTGCTGCAGCTGTTGGGACGCGACTGAGTCCATAGATGGCAGACTAACCATGATAACTGCAGCAAGGAAATGTGGCAGCCATGAAAAACCAGCAGGTTTATAGGAGCTTTGTTTTGGGTGAAATTTGATGCTGACTGTTTAACAATGAGATGCCTATCAATGCTGATATTATCAGTGACAAATCTTTCTTTAAGATTATACATCCTATAAAAAAACTGCATCTGATTTTAGATTTAAGGTTACATCATGTAACTGTAATAATTTTTTTTAACTGAAGAACTAGATACATTGAATCAAATTTAGAACAAGTTTATATATATATA